ACCCCCCTCCACGGATGTACACGCCCCACTGGGTGTTCACGTAATCTGTTGTAAAGTGTATCAACATCCCAGGTTACGGTCCAAATATATTTCAATGAACATAGGACTGGTAGTTAAAATATTCATATTTGAATTTGTCTGACAATGGCTCATAGATGTAGACATGGATTTAGTTTTTAAGCAGCACCTCCTCTTGAAACACATGCTTAGTACATAACTACTACACTATATGTTATATGATGTTCTGTATTTGATATTGTTTAGATATATTATCAATCCATTGCGTAAGTGTCCTCGATGTATTTTCACATTGTTTTGTCACTGAACAACACGCTCCATGCTGTTGCTACCGAGATCATAATATAGATCTTATCTATTTTATGATTTGTGTTGTAATACCAGTGTGAAAGGAAACATACAATAATATCATGAGAAAATATACCAATCACGAATTAAACGCATATGACTTGCACACTACCATATGATTTTAGAGCCTCACGTTAGTGACTTACATTCATATCATTCTTTCAACACATTTTCGCTTCATGGATGACGTCTATATTATATAGGATGCGGCGTTTCAGTATAGATTATTATACCGTTGTCAAGCGAGACTGAGGTGCTGTAGCAGACTTATATATATATCAACATTACTAAGTAGTTCAAATCCGCGGACACAAGCCCTCCATCAACAGAGATGAAGGATATCTCATCCCATCTGCATACAATGAACTGATAGCAACAACTTAGCAGAGCATTCCAGCCATGTATATTTTCTACCTCTTGGACATTTGACTTCCTCCTGTTGTCACTGCTTTATTACCACAATCCTATAGTTGTTGTTGAATACATGACATGTTATATAGTTGTTGCTGTTAATCCCTTTGATGCATGCCTACATGTTGCTTTACATAATCCCTGTAAAGTCTGATCTGTGCAAAGAGTGGGCACCTGCTCCTTTTGATAATTATGATTACCCCCTCTCTAATTGAGTTTTGTCAGTTGCAATGGATTATAGTAATCCTTATCGTAGATCTGGGTGATCCCATTCATGCATATAATTCTTTTTTTTCGTATCTTAGTTATTTCAGTCATGTGAAATCTTTTGTGACAACACTGGATACTGAGCCGTTGCCTACCTTTACCTGTACCACATAAAATCTGCATGGTATGCCGGTTGATATTGTTATTTGAAATCGGCAGACAATGCACACCTTTTGTTGCTGCTTGACAATAATATTTCCGATACGACATTGTAAGTACTTGGGGGTGCAGTCATATGACTTAAATATATTTGCGCATGCTGCTTAATATCATATCTGTGTAATACCACAATATACATGGATAAACTATCAAACTATGCATCGTTTAGAAAAAAAGTATTTTGATTACATGAAAGAGAATATTTATAAAGTTATAACTTTAAAGATATGAAACTTAAATGTGCGGGCCCAATGTATGTTTCATTACAAAGTTCTCTGTTAATGTCTTCCTACAATCAACAAAATATCATCATCTGGTGTTTAACTGAACTGACAAAACGTACTGGATAGAACCCAAAGGACGTGTATTGTCCATGCGGCACCGCCCGACATTGTTTTGGTGTTTTCCCTGAGTGGCCGCTCTCTGGATTACGCAATTGATAATTGCTGTGGCCACCAGGGACAACCGAGCCGGAACGGTGGCCGCTTATAGGGACAGCCCCATAAACAACCAATTGTCAGGTGTGAAAACAATTAGATATTCTCGGGTATTGTCACTTTGAACAGTGATACATTGTCGCTTAGGTATTGTTTATCATCTCAGCTCTGTACGCTGGTCATGTTAAGCGTGTTGATGGAGGCATTTCTAGGAATATATAAATGATCAAATATTGTTATTATGTATCTAGTATGTGTCCAAACATATTGAATGCATTTATATTTATGAATAAAGACTGAGTGTGTTTTTCATGTTGTTCAGAATGTATGCTAATAATAAGCCTTCAATGACTTGAATACACAAATTCATTCAATTAAACTATATACAATGTATATATAGAGAGTCTGTACTGGTAGAAACTTATTATATAGAATAACCTAAGCAATTACGATCTCTACCAGTGGAGGCTCCATTCTGATCCTACATATGATTTTTTCATATGTGAATGTTGAACCATAGTTTGTATCAACAATATGGTCATGATTAGGACATTATCAATTAATGCAATTTGTATTAAAGTGAGATACATTGATATGGAATTATTTGAATTTCTTTACATTTTTCATATATTAAAATAACATGCATAACAAATGAATATTATTGTTCAGCAAATAAAGTGTTGTTTGCCTACAGAACAATCAGAGTTTCTACCAGTTGAATTGGAAATTGTACTGGTAGAATCGGATCTGACAGGTAGGATCCGATTTCAATCTCTACTAGTAGGATACTGGTAAAGACTGTGAAGTCTCTACTGGTAGAATCTCCGACCAGATCGCAATCTCAACCCTGACATTTATTTATATATATATTGTACACATATTTCTCCGAGAGGATCTATCTCTGAAACATTTGGCACTCAAAGACAACAGGGCTCATCTTTAAGATGAAATGACTGTAACTTTGTCCAGTGAAACTCATGTAATACAGAGTGTGAATAAAAGATGTATAAAGAAATCACCATATTATTTTTATTTTCATTTCGTCTTGATAAGATGTTAAAATATACCTTGTAAGATTTGTGCGGTGATCTACTTTTGGGAACCATTATCCCCTCCCACTTGAAGTTGTTTACAGGAGAAAACAACATCATTTGAAGAAAGACCATATTGAATTATCCAAAGATGGTGTCTAATATTTTTCAATTAAGATAATTCTGGTAGTGAAATAAAAAATTCTGCCAGAAATTTCTGCGGGAAAAAAAAATTCTGCCAGAAATTTCTGCAGAAATGCATTTTCAGAGCCAATTTGTGAGCTTATGAACACGAGAGCGCACTGGCACATGAACTTTTTGGGTTCATCTCCTCGAGATCTTTCCAATGATATAAATTATGTCTTTGTAGCTCGCTTCCTTCTATGCGTCAAGTTAGGACTCACCGGCCATTCCTAAGTTGTCCCACCCGGCCTTCCAGGCTCCCGGGAATCCCTTGACAACTGACCAGGGGTGCAAGAGACCGAAAGCATAGCCCTAAGATACCGCTGCTGAGAAGTAGCCTGGGGCGTGGCAGAACGCTCAACAACCACAACACAGGATGTCATCGATGACGAAGGGCTTGGACTTTAAGGTTGAGAGCCGAGAAGTTTCCTGAGATCTTCGATAAATCCGAATCGGATGACACTCTCATAAAATCCTCTTCGTTGGAGAGAGGAGACTGTGACCAATGAGCAGTGATAATGGGACACTTAATCTTGGCTTTCTTGGCGGGGCTCAGTCTTTCTACCGAAGCAGCATATGTCGCTCGATCAGCAATAAGTCGAGTGCAGTCCCTGGAGTATTCCCCGAATGCCTCAAAGGTAGGATGCTTGCATTTATCACATCGATTGTCCCATTTACTCAAAGAGAAAACCTTGTTGCATTGTGCACAATTTTTTCTCTTCTTGGGCAGGTTGGTCTTTCCCGTGGTGTTTTTTCTTAGAATGGTTGAAGAAACGATGAGTAATGTAAACCGCATCCACACTCCAGTGCGACAACCAGGAAGCTGTCTTATAAGGAGGGTAGCACAGAGTTCTTGGGCGAATGGACAAGAGAGGCCTTGGGAGAAAGTTTACATTATTCCACTCAGTTTCGAAGCAAGAAAGAGAAGTGCATACCGTGAGATAGGATAAGTTTAAAAATTTCATTTCTCTGTCCATTTAGAAATATTTCAACAGAAACAATAGTTCATGCAGCAGGACTTTTCATCAATGTAACTGTTATTAACTGCAACACAGCAATTGCCTCTATTTCCTACTCTAGAGATCTCCACTGGGAACTCCAATGCCAATGGTTGGTTGGTTGATTTGTTTGTTGTTTAGCGCTGCACTCAGCAATATCCCAGCTATATGTCAGCAGCCAGACACTCCAGTGCTCAACGGAATGAGCATAGATTTACGCTATTGGGATACGATGACATGTGACAACCACGTCAGCAAGCCTGATCACCTGATCCCGTTAGTCACCTTTTACAACAAGCATGGGTTGCTGAAGACCAATTCTAACTTGGATCTTCGCGGGTTAAATCCCAATGATGTTAAAAGTATAACGAAATCCACTTTGAGAAGAAATCGTTATATTTAAAACCAAAATTTATAACTCAGCAATATTCCAGCTACATGGTCTGTAAATAATCAAGTCTGGACCAGACAATCCAGTGATCAACAGCATGAGCATTGATCTGCACAATTGGGAACCGATGATATGTGTCCACCAAGCCAAGGATCCTGACCACCCGATCCTGTTAGTCGCCTCTTACGACAAGCATGGGTTACTGAAGATCAATATTCTAACCCAGACCTTCACGGGTCCACGACATTTTGAACAAAATTGGCTATGGAATGGCCCGAAAGACTTTCATTATGACTGCTGAGGAGCGGAATCACTGTTTGAAATAAGTTTAACAGTTCAAGTGTTTTCAAAGGGGGAGGTGTTGGCGGCACAGAAGATGGATAATACATAATGGACTGCAAACAGGCCAAGGCTTCAGCCCATTTGATTTTGGTTCAAGTGAGCTAAAACTGCACTGCAAAAAAAATTCAAAATGGTAGCAGAATTCTTTGGAAGGTACATTGTCACACAGCTCAGCACACATTTCATAAATCAAGTAAAGTTAGAGGATTTATAAGCATCAGATCTGTCAATTTCTTACAATACCTCCACACCAGTTTGTGTTCACAAAAAGATAAATGAAATCATTACATATACGCTACAATCACAACCAAAAGCATTTTATAGAAAGAGCAACTTTCCAGAAAAAAACTACAAGTGTCCACCACCATCCTGCACAAGCTCCACGACAATGAGTGACAGGCCTATTGTAACTAACCTTGATCTGCTCCTAAAAAACTACATTGTGGCAGTAATCTGGGTTGTGCTGCATCGACTTTGATGTGTAGAGATGCACGTGGACCTGAAAGAAGTACATTTTTGTGAAGTCTTGCCAAAATATAACCCAATTGTTTTTACTTTGTATAACCGTGATAAATAACATCATTGTTTCCTCACAACAGGCAATGGAAGTGTCAAGATACTCCAAGCAATGTCCATGATCTTAAGGAAGGATTAATTTCTCGCAGGTTGAGCAATTTTTTTTGCACACGAGGGTTTTAAAGAGCCCTTAGATTTACCCAGGATTATTAAATCTAAAGATATACCCCAGCAATTTTTTTCAGAAAACAAGTAAACAAATATATGCATGTGTGCCACAGAAAATGAGGTTTCCTGAGGTTGGGAAGAGAGACAACTCCTGCAGATAGTGTTGGGAGGACCACTAGGAAGAAAGACAACACAAAATCTTGGACATCAATTTTTATGTTAAAGATAATATAAACTCTAGGGGGCTACAAATACGTAAATCATTTATTGGCATCATTATAAATGAAACCCTGTCATTAAAACTACTCATTTCGACATTTAATTAACTTAAATTGACCTAATTGACAACAGTGCACGATTCCCTCCCGCAAACGAAATTTCCACCAATCAGAGGAATGCGTCTCTGTGATGTAATGTGAGGTATGCATATGAGGGGCACTGTAGAATTCATGTACATTTCCGGGGGTAAATTATCTTGCTTACAGGTTTGTCTAAACCTGCAATCGTGACAATTGTTGTGAAAAATCTACGTATACTGTCATTTAATCTGCTTTGCCTAGCTTCTGAGATACAACTTGTTTTCATAGATGATTCTGTCAAAATCGCTCATTGTCATAACAGTTACCTGTTGGCTAGGTCTGGCTTTTGTTCCCTAATTTACTCGGGTGTTAAATAGAGAATCTCACCCAAGTGTCTTCTGATATCAGTTATATCAACACGAGTTGATAAAGTTACAAATATCCGAGGCTTGCCGAGGATATTTTTACTTTTATCAACGAGTGTTGATATATTTGATATCAGAAGACACGAGGGTGAGATTCTATTTATCATCCAAAATCACTCTTCATTAATTTTCAATGAAAAATGTACATCTCTGAACATGGTACTGCCATTAGGCTTGCAGTGCAGCGATGTCATAGCATTGTGACGTCATCAAGTACATGACGTCATAGCATTGTCAGGGCATTGTACAAAATCTACTGTCAAAACGATATCTCCTAGGAGATATCGTTTGATCTCACACAAGCGATATCTCCTGTGGAACACAGTTTTGGATGATAAACCATTTATGTCAAGTGATTTGAATATAGTCAATTCAGTGGGTTGGCATTTCGGTACAAAGCAGTCCTCAAGCAGTGACTGTTTCTCACATACCAATGAAGAAACAATCGCTAGGCCTTATTTGTTCAAGCTAGACGCTAGTGATAGCGAAAAGGATGATCAGCCTGCTCATCACGGTTACAGGAAGAAGATCGACTAGTATCTACATACTTGTGAGTGGATGTTAACCACGTGAATATAGCAAGAAATTTATCGCACAATATCGCGTGGAAGAAATTGTTATGTTACAAGTTGTGTCATGCAAAATCCTTTTGGTCATGATTCAAATACATATTTAACTACAAGTAGAAAGTAATTTTGATTTTCTAACTTGATGAAAACAAACCATAATATCATTGACTCTTGAACAGACTTTAGCCTGTGACGTCATGATTTTTAAAAATTGTGGCGCCCTGTCACGAACGTCCGCCAGTCTGAGTATAAATGCTATAAATTTTTTATTTAGAAATGCTATGTATCAATTTTGTCAGACCACGAGATGAAATATACATGTTATTTGACAACATTAACAAAATATTCTATTTATTATATTTTTATCATTGTTTATAAATGATTGAGACATCGAGTAAGTCTGCATTTTATTACGCAACCAAACTACAGTCTAGCCCTTGAGCAGAAAGTAGTTCCAGGCAAAAGTGATATTCTACTCAGTGAAAATACCATTTTTATTTTCACCAATATTTACAGTATGTCACCCTTAAGCATATAATAATAAATGCTATTTAGGTTTCTTTTCACCAAGTTACAAAATCCAAACTACTTTCTACTGGTAGTAAAATATGTATTTGATGGACGGCCAATAGGTTTTTGCATGACATAGCTTATAACATAACAATTTCTCTCTTGGAAGTGAGGTGGGTGTCGAGGCGGCGATGATGATTATGATGATGATGATGATGATGATGATGATGATGATGATTCTGGTAATGGTGTTGTGATGAAGATGTTGATGATTGTGGCAATGGTGGTGGGAATAATCGTGGTGAAAATTACATTTAACTGGATTGTTAAGTTCGATTTGAAGGTCAAGTGGAATGTTTGTTCCAGTTTTTCGCAATGTTTTGAATTTGAATGTTTTAAATATTTATTCATTAATGACCAGTGATCTCTGATATGTCCTGACCAGGTCAAGTTGCTGTCTAAAATCTCAGGGCTTTTTTTGAGAGTGGAGAAACTAGTTCAAACTAGTAACCACTGTGTTGATGTTAAATTGTTCTTTTCCTTGTTTTATTTGTGCCAAATATTATTGACATTCTCATTTTGACATGATTAAAAGTTTTTATTAAAGCTTAATCAAGCATAGTGATTTTGTCATGTTTTTGCTTTATAAAACAAGCATTAACACAATTATAAGTAGGGATTTTTTTTGTTAAAAAAACTTCTTGCAATATATTGCAATACACCCCCAGTTAAAAAGAGTACAAAAAACAAAAGTTTATTCGTTCTTTAAAGCTTAACCTGTTGATTCAGAAGCAAGTTTCAAGAAAAAGGCAATCAAGTGTTAGAGAGAGTTATTCGTAAGGATTAGATAGAGCCTGTGCTTGGCTTGCCCCTACCAGAGTGTCACTGCGAGTAGAGAGCAGTGGAGACCAACCACTATGTAATTTGTGAGGAAACATCACTGAGAGGTGAATGTTTACAATCAGCTCATGTGCTGGATACTGAGGAAGGTGGCCTGGGACAAGGAGGCACCTGGCGAGGTGGCATCTGCTGATGTTCCCCATGCATTAGACAATGCCTTATGAGGCATAGCCAGAAAATTCAATACCCATGGACTCTGTCTGCCCAGGTATGCCCATGTCAGGAGCTGAGTGCCATAATGGTAATAGTAGTTACTGTGGGTTAACTTAAAGGAGAATACGAACGAAAACAAAACTTTTGATATATTGTAAAGGATATTCTAAAAGTCACATTCCGTCATTAAAATTGAACAAAAAGTTTGTAAAATAGCAATAAAAACATCAAAACGTACTCGTATTTCCGCCTATTACGGAAACACCCGACAGTTAATGAGCAGAGGGGGTATCACGTGACATGACGTCACATGTGCCTGTTGCTGATGGCTTCCTCTTTGATTTTACCTCACAACTTAACAGTGTCCATGGATTCTGAAGCAGTAAAAGATGTTCCTGATGTCATTTCTGAAATGGATGTTAGACCGTATCAATACGATCCGATTTTACATCTTGCAAGACAATCTTCCACTGAAGATGAAGAAGAAGAATCAAGCGAAACGGAGGCACCGCTTGAGGTCAAAATAAATTTTAAAATAGACCATATCATTTAACAAGATTACTATTTGTCAGCAAAATGTCATACAGTTCCAGCCAGCAAACTCACCCCTATAAATATATGACCAGTCACTAACAATTATTTTAAAAAAATGTGATTGCAGTTCATTTTGTGTCAAATGGGTGACTGTAGGGTGTCTGGGATTTAAAAATAAAATATTTATGCTTCAGACGGGGGAAAATAAAAATTATCTGCTTCAAAAATTACACTGGAATTATTTTGTTGAAAAAAATTAGGATCCTAGTTCTCATTAATAACGTATCAAGTCTCGATACAAGATCCCAGCCTGGTCGAGCAGAGATAATATTCGCGACGCAGATAAGTTATTCCCCGAAAACTGGTGAATTATAAAATACTAGTCAGGACAACGTATGTTTCCCCATTGTTTGGTTATGGAAATAGTTAAGGTCCGCGGTCATAGCCTTAGAATGACATCTTGTCAGCCAATGAGAATACAGAACAACTTTCACGGCACACACTACTGACAAATAGCGAGTCTGATGCCGACGTGCGTAATTGGACAAAATGGAAAAATATGAATGCAACAAGTACTTCATGATTTGCCGTTGTATTCGGCAATGTTTCGGGTTGACTGCATCATTTAGGGCTCCAAACCGAAAAGAACGTTATAGCGAAATTTCAAGCTCATGTGAAATCTCTTACTGATTTTGATAATATATATCTCATGTGTACCAGTCGAACTGCCCCAGCTACAAAATGCCCCAGCAAATTTGGTCATTCATTCTAATTTGTTCAAATTTATTTAGAATGATTGAATATATGCCATAAATGCATAGTTTTTGTCAACTTATTATGATATTATGTTCTTCATATAAAAGTTATTAGGAAGTAATATTTCTGATAAATGTTTCATCAGTAAACTCATAACTGTGTATATACTTATATATGAAGAACATAATATCAAAGTTGACAAAACTATGCATTTATGGCCTATATTTATTCATTTTAAATAAATTGGGGCATTTTGACTACCCCACTGGGGCAATTTGGCCAAATTTGCTGGGTCATTTTGTAGCGGGGGCAATTCGACTGGCAATCGGACTTGATTTAATTTATGTTAAAAATACCACTGACATTAAGTTGTTACAGGGAATGATGGAGTATAATTAATGAATCTCGTGGGTACTTTTTCCTTCTTCAGCCTAGCTTGGGGATTTCCATACCCCATGCGTGCATGTCTCTTTCATATGCGTCCGACTCGGAATGATTGGCGCATTTCTCCTGCCGAAATCTGTTATTTCACTTGGAAAACGGAAGAAATGGTGGTTCTTTCCCATGTTCGATGATGCCGTGCATCCCAAGGCAACGCAATACACCATCGTACCATTAAAAAATTCGACAGAAACAACAGGATTTGTACGACTGTAGCGCTTGGTCTTTGGCAATATGGCGGACTACAAGCACATTTGACGTCATGAGCGGAAAGGTCACGTGGGTTCCAGTGAACTATGCATAATGGCCGAAGCTGAGATTTACAGAAACTGTTTTCGCGATTAAAACATAATTATACATAATTTTTAATTGAAAATTTGGGAATATGTTTCTGATGACTTTATCTTTCACCCATCAAATTATTGCAATTCACTCGTATTCCCCTTTAACATACATACCTGACTAGATGAATTCTGTGACCAGGGCCTTCAACACCTTCCACATTGATAAGGAACAGTCTCAGTTGCTGACAAATACAGGACATCTAGTAAGGAAACACAAGTGACAGTCCTTACCTAGAGCCAGTCTCCGATGACAGACACTTGGGCCTGGTTTCTCTGGTTCTAACACCCATGTGTTTTGATCAATCTCATACATCATCTCCCAGAAGTCTTCACACTTATTGACCATGACACGAAACTGATTCATTAAATCTTGGAGAGAAACCTGTAACATGTAATACAACAGTTAGCAACCTCAAACAATGGCCATATTTCAAACAGAATAATTCAAACAAGAACGATTAGATATACCTCATATTTCTTTTGATACGAAGCCTTTCAGGCAGGAGTGTTGCCATGTCAAAAAGTTACCCTGAATTTCATAATTGCATGAATGGATTACTCCAATGCACCCATGATGCCATGATTTATCTGTCATAGTTTTGGAAAAAATCTCTACGGGTTTGTGAGTAATTTCATTGGAATTTCATTCATTTCCAATTTTGTCTGCAATTGTCTGTGATATTTCAGTAATGGTATATGTGTTCTACACATTACCATCATGTTGAGAGTTGTATAGTTCAAATCAATTAGACTCAATGGTTTCATCTATCACCTCTTACTCCACTGTAAACCCCCACCCCTCTTTGTACATCAAATAGACCCAATTGGCTTCTATCATTGTAACAACATAATATCTGCTTTTGTTATATCAATTCCCTTTCATCTCATAATCCCCTGTTTATTGTATATATACATGCTTAAATTCACTCCGGCTTCATGTACATTACTAGTATATATATCCTGTATATCTGTTAGTTACCATTCACCTGACAAAGGGGCAAGGAAAAGCCCAGAAACATTGTGTATAGAATAAACAAGCAGTTGACATCCATAATATTTTGTCTTATACTTGACACAATGTGTACATGCTGAATGTTGACTGTCTGGTTGACCTGCACCTCGCTTGCTGCAGCTCCCCTCAGCCAACAAAACATTTAATCGTTTGAATGCGTCTGTGTTGATGGAACATTGTTCTCAACAATATAATGTCTGGATTTCCTTGAAAATTTGAAAATTTTGAAGAAGACTAATGGTTTGCACACAATATGACATTATTTATTTTTAACAAGATGCCCAAGATTCACTTTTATGTGTTTAAATGAGACTGGAATGGTGAAGGCCATATGGAACATTGGTTTCAAACCTTTTGTACAAACTGGGGTTTTATCACTTGTGCGAAAAAGCATCTGAAGTTGCAGCTTCACTGGTACAGAGATTACTTAGCAGATGATATTTCCAGGGCCTAAAAGGCATTTTGCAGAATGCAGGACAAATGTGACACAACATAAGCTCAGTTGAGAAAAGGTCCCAAATGTTCTTTGTCATTTTGTCAAACTTTACACAAATACAACAAACATTAGATATTCATTTAGACCTAATACAAGCCAACTGACATAGTGATAGCTGCCGAGTAATTTTCCAAAATGGGATATACAGAAGAGCTGCCATGGATCAGAATAATTATTCCATAGGAGTTCAAGCAGTCGTTTACTGAAAGGTCTGAAAGTTCTCAGGAACATACACCAACATTTAGAAATCATGCTTTTTTTCAATAGAAGGCAGCTTTCATATGAATCATCCAATATAAATGTTAAACGTACCTGCTCATCTTGATTAATGTTAAAGTCTGCGGGGATGGGTAAATGAACAGTACACATTTCTGAAGCTTCTTTCTGAAAAAAATCAATTGCTTTTGTAAGAGTGTCTAACATTAACCTATAGTTGTTTTCCATCAGCTGATTAAAGAATAAAGTAGGTAGAGCAATGTGGTTTTGTAGGTCACTTAACCAATGAAGTAACAAGTTGAGATCATTCCTGAGGTAAGGGGTCAGATAAAATGTCCCATGGTAGACGATCTGGACTTGAGTGTCGTTAAGTCACACTTTTAGTGCAGACACCCTGGATGATATCCTTTGTTTGGAGCTTTGGAGCAGTGATCCACAGATCGTAACTGACATTTACATTGAAAAGTTTGAAAGTCTGGCCAAAACATGAAATATGTCTCAAGGATTCTGGTATAGAAAGAGAATCAGTGAGCCAGTTATAGGTGTATGGGGGAAAATGGAACTGGTGGGATCTAAATTAAAAAAAACCCCATTTAACTTTTAACTGTCCAATATTTATTGAAGAGAATGTAACTTACTCAATCATATTTACTGTCTATGGTGGATGTATTTATGTATGTGAGAACTCAGGTGAGTGTTTACACCAGTCCCATTTGTCATGAGCATCAAAAGACTCTTGCTGTTTAAGAACGTCATAAATATCACTGGAATTATCCTTAACAATCAGTAGGAAGCTGTATTAATGATCCCTTTACCTGAGGACTGAGGTTAAGAAGAAGAACGTGTTTCCTCCCGGCTGTATCACAAAGCGTTAGAGTTAGCTGTTGAAAAGTCTCGTCAACACTGTCCACTCTTTAACAGAAAGAAAAATGTAATTTTTTGAGTAAAATTGATATTTTATACTTATCCTGACTCATGCTCTTTTGCTTGTCTCCTTCCTCTTGCGAACATAGTGGAACACTTGTATCTCCCTAATTGAAGTTCCCTTCAATGTAAAATGACTAATTAGTACACCACGAGTTACCTCCCTTCCACAAGCGCGTGAACGAGGGCGCCACCTCTACCCATGTGCCTCACTCACTCCTCATATACTGAGCCCAACATTTGAATTTACAGGGAAATCCAAAGTGTTATGTGGGGAGGATGGGAGGGCTGACCTCATGAGTCAGGATAAGTATAAAATATCAATTTTACTCAAAAATTACATATTTTTCCTTATCCTGACTCATGCTCTTTTGTTTGTAGAATCCCTACGGATTGGAGGTGGGAATATATAATACTTTGGATTTTAATAATTAGTGATTTGAACTGTGATGATTGTAATAACCCTATGGGAACTTCATAAAGGCACTGAACTGATGAATTCCTGCTGCTAACTTATCAGCTGCCATATAAAGGTTATTACAATGTACTTATTATGATAAAGTATATATAACATTAATACAATGCTTAAGACTAATAGACTTAAGCTTGTTAATATGCTAGTATAAACTCCTTAGAGTTTGTTAGCTAAATTACTTTAAAATATAAACATAGTACTGAGCTTAAGATATGAATAAGCTTAAGTTACCTATATAATAGCCCAAACTCTGTAGAGTTTGTTAGCTTATATATTTTTACAATCTGAGTATAGTACTATGCTTAAGATATAATTAAGTTAAGGTAAATATATAATAACCAACTCTGTAGAGTTGTTAACTTATATATTGTATGATGTAATAATCATAGTACTGTGATGATAAAAAGAACTTAAGCAAATTATATATAGCATGTAGCTATTTAGTACTGTTATAAGATAAGTAGAAATCTGTAAGATTGACTTATCTTCTCGAGGAACTGTCAACTGTTGTGCGAGGACCATGGGATCGAATTGGTGGATACCTGAGACGTCCTCGGTGATGATATCTCTCAGATAATGGTTGGCAACCACCATATCGGATCTCCAGAAAATAAACCCTCCATTATTTCAAATAACATTGTGTAGATCAATTGTAGAAGTTAGAGCTCTAATATCATGAGTATTAAAAGCTCATGGAGGGTCGGATTGGGTCCATCCATCTTGTATGCACGTAGTATGACAGTTCTGATCCAAACGGAGATATAGTACGTGAGATTTCATTCTGCGTAAGTTGATGATAAAGGAAATAATCTGTTGCATTATTCCCTTCTGTTTGGTTCGGTGGAGATAAATTTACAGTGCTCCTGCTGGCCATCGTGATAGAATCATTGTATCATGAAGTCCAAGTATGTCATCCAGGCGTGTTCATAAACCTCACTTGTGAGGTGTTGGAGCACTATATTCAGATCCCCAAGTTGGAGGGTGAAACTTCCGTTTTAATTCTCCAATCAGAAAGTTTAAGTAGGTTTACTAACCATCTAGTTGTGTTAGTAGCTTGATTATGAAATTCAGCTGTAGTCTGAGGCGCTGTGGATTTAGATCCACTTGTATCCCGTCGTCTAGGTTATTAAGCTCACGAAGTCCTTGGCGATGTAGGTGCACAACCAGGTGTGTCTGTCCTCGTTGAACTTTATGTAAAATTGCCTGACTGCCGTGCCTCGTCCCTAACTTGACAGGGGAGGTCTCTAACCTGAAGAAAGCAGCCCAATCATGAAGGTTCAGATTAACTGGACTGTAAGGAGGCTTGCTCGTTCACTGATATATAGTTGTCACTTGTAGCGTAAGTCTTGAACTGTGAACTAAGATCGACCTCTCGTGAGGTCGTTGTCCAACGCGTCCAATCAGAACAAGGCATTTTGATTCTGTAGAATACCAGCTGTGATGTCACCGGTGTAGCAGGAAAAACCTTGTATAAAATCTTGCCGTCGTTGATATTAGCATAATCGTCGGTCTTCACCGTAGCTTCGAAGTTACCCGAGTGACCCCACGTGTTTGAGGGTTAAAGGTAAACGCTGAAACCTCGGTAGCGAAATACCTCGCTCTGTAATATTAATGCTGGGTAGGTTATTTTCCTGGCTGTCGTGAAAGTAACTTCAGTTTTGAATATAATTCCGACTTCCTTATATAAAGGTACAATAAACTTGCAAGTTGTCAGCTTGTAGACTGTATACATGAATGTATCGTCATAATTGTAGAATTAAAGCTGAACTTGTTGTACATATTTCTTCTCAGAAACTTTGACGATTATGAGTTATACTTCGCTGTAACAAGGCTGCTGTTCAATTTCGATATTGAATTGTCTGCAGATATGCGTAATGGTCGCATGTAGATAATCGTATCGTAGTCCGGGATTGCATATTCTAGCAATCTATACGGAAAGGTTGATTTCTGTGAAGATCTATGAAAGCGTCGTTGACTAATTAATATAGCGGCGTTCTGTGTTGTAAATAGCCTGTGCAATTGTCTTCGCGTAGGCTTATAGGCGGCATATGGCATACAGTTGATAGACAACTTATGCGATGTCTTGAACGGACTGGCGAGTAGCTATATATGACGAAAGTGGCTAATATATGGAGACCTTGGAGGAGATTTCCTCGGTGGGCCGCCGGAGACTTCGCGAAGCTCGAAGTATCCATTCTAGATTTTCTGTGTGAGGTAGACTTGGAGCCACTTAGCCTTAGCGACCTTAGCGAAGGTATCGAGTCAGAGCCCGATCAGTATATATATAATATATGAGCTTGCTTCGCGAAGCGACCTCTGTGTTCAACAGGAGGAGTGAGTGAGTGTTTTGTTTTACGCCGCACTCAGCAATATGTGGGGTCGGTGAAGCGCTACTCCTCCGTGGCGTCCCTTGTAACTGGTGAGGCTCTAGCTCCTTCGGCGGAGGTGGCCTGGGACTTCCTTAGCTAAGTGTCTAGAATCCGATCAATATATGGCGTTAGCTTCATACAGGGTGTGGTTCTTGCTGGTTCTGCATAAGTAGAGCCGAGTAGATCATCCTATCATCTTCAGAAGTCGAGGTCCGCGAAATCTGGTGATAAGAATCTCATTGATCGTTCTAGATCTATTAAGGCTTAAGAACATACGCCTCTGGCGTTTGAACTGTTATGGCTTTATGGTAGGCTGTGTCCACATACTGTGGCACCGCAGCAATCGAGTCGATCGGAGGTATGGTGATGGCGTCTGCCTCGTCTTCCTTTATCAGGTATGTCTGCGCCGAGTTGCCACTCTTGGAAGGTGAAGAGAGATCTAGGTTGTTTACCATCCAATATCGTGATCTCAGCGTCTGAGAAAATGATGCCTCCATCATTTTCTATCCCAGCATCGCTGATGAGAGGTTGATGCTCTTCTGATGGTGGACTGTGTATTTCTATCTCTATGTCGGGTGACGCTCGGGAGACCTGACTGTAGACTTGTGTGCAGACTTGTGTGGTGACCTGTGAGACGATCGACGTGGTGATGTACGAGGAGATCGGCGCGGTGAACGGCGCGGAGATCGTGTTGGTGATCTGCGTCTATGGGTTGACCTTCTCGGAGACCGGTGAGGAGAATGTTGATAGCTTTGCGAAGCTCTTGTGTAGTCAGGGGTCCTTCGCGAAGGCCTTCGCGAAGCTTCCTCTGCGTCCGGTCCTGGGGAACGGCGATTTGACCTTCGCGAAGGCTTCCGTGAGGTCTGATGGTCTGAGTCCGCATCTAAGGATGAAGCCAAGGAAGGTGATGATCTATCCCGCCTTCGCGAAGGCCTTCGCGAAGGCTGTACATCTGGGTCCTTCGTCGAGGTGGTCTGCGACTTCCTTCGCGAAGGTGGCTTCGTCGTGGCTGCTACGCTGATGGGGGTGCCTCTGGGGTGTCGTCTGCGTTGGAACCTTCGCGAAGGCTCAGGCCTTGGGCTGGCTGCTTCTCCAGTCTGTAGTGGCCCTCCATCATGATCATGATTTGCCGCAACAGTTCATCTGGGATGGTCTGCGACGAATTAGTCGGTGCCCTCTCTGCGATGTTAGCGGCGGGGCCCTCAGGGAAGTCGTCTGACGTCAGTGTAGAGACTTCAGGCTGCATGGCGATCTCTGCTGATGTCACTGTAGCTGATCATCGTAGAGACCCAGTTCAGCGGCTGGAACAATCTCGGTTGAGAAAGTCCTAGTAGACTTCGTTGATTTCCCCTCAGAGGTCGACGCTGCCCTGGGGGTGCGAAGTCTGCGTTGAGTGTTGGTAGCGACGGGACCCTCAGGAAGAATATCAGCGTTGGTACATCAGGCTGCATGTTGATCTGCGCTGACATCACTGTTGTCGACATCGGTCATTCTTTTGATGTACATCAGGTATGATGATCGGCTGATCATCATACAGGCCCAAATCTGCGACGGGAACAATCTCGGCTGAGAAAGTTCAAGTAGACTTCGTTGATTCCCCCTCAGAGGTCGCGTTGAGATGCAGTAGAAACCCTCTAGTCTTCGGCTGCGACGATGGGATGTCTGGGGAAGCAGGACGCTTCTTGGAGGCGGCCGACTACGTCCCACGCCTCTCCACCACTCTAGCGGAACACCACACGGGAGGGGGGTCGACCAACAGCAGTAGACTGGCGAGTGGTTCAGGTGTATCAGTCATGGCTAGACTCTGCATCGCGACCTATCTGCCAATGCGTCTCAAAGCGCCAAAGTAATATTTATTAAAGGCAGAATTGGATAAATTAGTACCGCAACTGCAATGTGAATAACATGAAACATGGCGCAGTACAGCTAGGGCATATTAAATGCGGATCAGCAGCAGAATAAAAAACGTAATGTGCAATAGTACAGAATTTTTATCAACGTAATCCACTGAAACAACACGGCGTCCCGTGAATAAACAGTAGAAACACGACTAAATATCAATATATAATTGTTGAAGATACTAGCTAAACCTCTATAGATGTCTATACGAGGTAACTAACTAAATATAATCAAAGGATATAGTG